GTGGTAGTGGTTCAGGGTATCAGAATAATGCTGCTCTTTATGGTAAATATAATCTAATTTTAATCAAAATTTATTCTTTTGATTCAGTTTATCTGTGGAGCCGAGTATCCCAAACCATGTGCTTAATAATACTTGGTTATTTTTTTTTTGCTGTTCCATCCAAGAAGTACCTAATGTCGTGCGAGGCTTGTTGTGTTTAGTTCTTTCAGAACCACTAATTTTTTTTATCTGGTTTTCAGGTTCCTGCCCTGCAGTTCCAGTAAGAATTTCCGGTTCAAAGGTCACAGTAACTACATCAGAGGGATGTCAAGTGTGAGTTACCTCCCTTTGAGTACTCTAAGCGTGCTGCATAGAGACTAAGGCCACGGCGCTTTAGTTTTTATATTACGACCGCAATGCAACAGACTGTGCACGTTTATAATTGGACAGTTGGGAATCGTCTTATGACAATGACGGAAAAGTGTGGAGAAAGCTCCGTAACCCACCCAAAATGGAAAAAGACCATGTCAATTATTGATACTTGTTTTTATTAGCTTTGAAAGGCAGATAACTGGCTTGTAGAAGCACTATGAGTCGATGTCCAACTGAACACAAGGACTACGTTTCACAGTTTGTAGTTTAAGGTCCAGAAAATCGTTGTATTCATCCTAACCTTTGCTTTCCATTTCAGTGTAATCTCTATATCAGGAAGCACGGACGGTGATGGGTAAGTTTCTTTCTCTGATTCTCGGTGTCTTTTGATGAACATGATCCAATGATGATTTGGAGGGCATGATCTTCCAGAACAATTCAGGCCATTATTTGACTTATCATTTCCAGTGATGAACCTGTCGTCAGGTCAGAGCGGCTGGCTGATGTCTAGCCGTTTGGATGGGACCTTGACAGTTGGAAGTTGGAAAAGATTAGGGTAATGCCACTGTTCTGGGAAATTCCCCTAATTGCACACTGCCTATTGCTGCTCGTCTGCATCAGTCCAATATAGTGCAGAAGTGTAGGACGTAAAACTCCATTCATTTCATTTTCATTCCACTGGTCGATACTGCTTCCTCGCCTATTGTTATCCTCACTTTTATCATTCTTGAGTTTGATGCTGATCAATATTCCTTCTTTTTCAGGAAAAATCTTGGCATCAATGTTGCATATAACAACAAAGTCATCGTATAGATTATGGTTTTTGGGTAATAGTACAGACACACATATATATACGCACGGGTCTTCAAAGTTAAGAACGAACCCAACCATTGGGCATTGGCATCCAATCCACAACCAGATCAGGGCCGTCAAAGATCCTGTGTGCGAATATCCAGCTTTGTATATAGTTGTAAATATGTCAGTTAATATGATAATGTAATAAAGGTTGTTAATAGATGAATTGATATATTTGTAATTACGGATTAGGCAGTATTGGTGTGGTCATTAATACAAGGGACAAAATCTCAAGACCTCTGGAAGGTGCACAGGTTCATGAAGCCTCAAAATCACAAAAGTTTAGGGAATTTGGGTAAGGCGCCAAAAAGGGTATATGCGAACTTCAAGACATCTGAAACTACTGTTCATAATTAAATGCTTCCTCATTCATGATTGATATACTTCCTCATGTTAAAAGTTTTTATGCTGCAATCAACATAAGACCAAACTGTTATTTTTGGATATCGGGTTTCTTTTCCCGTTCGGATCGTTAATACTTGGGTTTGGTTTAATGTTGTTATTTGAAGCTAGTTCGATTGGGTCTTGGGGATTTAGTCAACTCTCTTCATTAACAATGGCTTTAGATTTTGGTATCAGAATGTGTGATTCACTTGCTATTAAAAAGTTTTATTGGAATGTACTAATAAACCTATCTATTGTATTGTACATGGGCAATGGTTGAACCCTTACAGTGTACAAATCAATCAAATATCGTTAAGGCTTGATTGATAGCCGTCAATCCAATGTCGTTAAGGCTTGATTGATAGCCGTCAATCCAATGTCGGTATACCTGCGTTCTATAATTGATGTCGAGTAGGTACATACTTAATAGTCCAAAATTTCATTGACTTTTGACGACCTTTAATATACCTGATATGTCTAAATTGGCTATCAAAAGCCTCTTTGAAATTCTGCCCAACGTCTGTACTAAGGAACTGTAACCCAATTGAATGCACAAATATATTTGACTTCTATTTACAATATTAGATTTATAAGATATGATAATCCAATACAATGTTAATTAAAAAATACATTAACGGTCGATGGTTTATGGAAGACCCAAAGTTTTACAATTAATGCTGCAGAGGTTATAACTATGGTCTAATACGATCGATTGGTTTCTCTTCCGATTCTTTAAATCAATAATGTTCCATTTCCATTTCCATTTCCATTTCCTCTTCTTCTTCCTCCTCTTCTTCTTTTTCTTCCTCCTGTTCTTCCTCTTCTTCCTCTTCTTCTTCCTCTTCTTCTTCCTCTTGCTCTTCTTCTTCTTCTTCTTCTTCTTCTTCTTCTTCTTCCTCCTCTTCTTCCTCTTGCTCTTCGTCCTCTTCTCCACCTCCCATTTCCTGCATTTCCATTTCGTCGTCACCCATTCCATGCTCTTGCTGCATTTCTAAATTCTGCTCTTGCATCTCTTGGATTTCCCAGCTGGCACTCCAATTTTCCTCGATGTCATCTTCACACGTTGCAGATGCAGTTTCAGTGATTTGTGTTTGAGATCTCGGCTGTTTTATTGGCATATCTTGCTCAGAACCACTTGGTCCTGGCCATTTCTGCTGCTGTCCGGGCATTGAGCTTTTCCATGCTCCCGCACCTTGCATTTGAGTCGGGGTCTGCCGTCCTTTACCAGATTGTTGCCATTGTTGACCTTGACCTTGTCGTCCTTGGCCCGATTGTGGCCATCGTTGCCCCTGACGTTGCTGTCTTTGACCCAACTGTGGCCACTGTTGACCTTGCTGTCCCTGACCCGACTTAGGCCACCGCTGCCCCCGATCTTGCTGTCTCTGGCCCGATTGTGGCCATTGTTGACCTTGACCTTGCTGTCCCTGGCCCGATTGTAGCCATTGTTGGCCCTGACCTTGCTGTCCTTGACCCGATTGTGGCCACTGTTGACCCCGACCTTGCTGTCCCTGGACCGATTGTGGCCACTGTTGACCTTGACCTTGCTGTTCCTGGCCTGTTTGTAGCCATTGTTGGCCCTGACCTTGCTGTCCCTGGACCGATTGTGGCCGTTGTTGACCCTGACCTTGCTGTTCCTGGCCTGTTTGTAGCCATTGTTGGCCCTGACCTTGCTGTCCCTGGACCGATTGTGGCCGTTGTTGA